TACTCCGAGCATGACTATAGTGAAATAGAGGCGTTGAGTCCAGGTTTGTAAATTTTTTCTGACCATTGATAGTCCCTATCTGAATTACAAGCTTTTAGATATATTTTTCTTGGTCTTATTACCTCCGATCATATTCGAGAATGCTTACAATCTTAACAAAGGCTACTTTTTCTCCAACATTGGTCCTATTCTTTCCTTCGCAATACTGGGTACTGCAATCTCGGCACTTGTAATTGGGTTTTGCATATACATCCTCGGCCAGGTAATTTTTTAAAACGGTTTTTTGTATTTTCCTTGTAAATTTTTTTCTTTATACTATCAAAAACTGGTCTTTATATTGTTTTTTTAGGCTGACTTAGTTTATGAATTTTCTGTTTTTGAATGCTTTGCCTTTGCGTCTATGATATCTGCCGTCGATCCTGTAGCAACATTAGCAATTTTTCAAGCCGTTAAGGTGAGTAAAGTGTGACCGTGGCAGTGGACCGTTCCTATATACTGAAAATGTTAAAAGATGAAGTATCTGTTTTTTTTTTCTTATGAGGAACATTCCTGTCTTAAACAGAGTGCTTTTGAAAAAACGTAAGTCGATTCTTTCTAGGTGGAGGGCTTGCTTTATATGCTCGTATTTGGTGAATCAATGCTCAACGACGCAGTTTCGATTGTATTCGCCGCTACAGCCATTCGACATTCTCATCCGCCATACAGCAGGTAGGTAAAAGTTTTATGAAAATTTTTGTTCTTGTGTTGTAACTTCTTTTTCTTATCGTGCTTTTCAACTTTCTTTTTAAAAAGTTGATTTAGTCTTGGACCAAGTGAAATATTATGGAGTGTTTCAATAACCTTTCTTGCCATGTTTACGCTGTCAGCCGCTCTGGGATCAGCGATTGGACTACTGAGTGCTTTGGTGAGTTTACCACCCAAGTATGGAGCTTCCTCTGAGCCTACCATTCAACACTCTATTTTCAGTTGTTCAAGCATGTAGATCTTAGAAAAACACCGTCGCTTGAATTTGCTCTTCTTCTTGTTTTCGCATATATACCATATGGATTTGCTGAAGCGGTGTCGTTATCAGGTTTCTTCTTACATACTTTTGATAGTTACTTTTGATTTTTATGATAGTGTATTCAATTCAAACATACTCATTCAGGAATTATGGCTATTTTATTTTGCGGAATCACTATGTCACAATACACGCAACAAAATATCAGTCCGGTTACTCAGATAACCTTTCGGCAAACGTTTAGAACCATCTCTTTCGTGGCAGGTTTGCAGTTTGATTCACTCGAAGATTATCATGTATTTGGTCTGGGAATTCTATCTGTCAAGGTAATCAGTAAACTACTCGCGCAATTAGTTGCCCCTTACGATAACTTGATATGGGGTATCATTTATCAGTGAGGATTGCGGAATTTTAAGTAATTGATTACATATGACATTTTGACGAAGAAATTAAAATGAAAAGCTCATTCAGTGGCACACTCCCCCTTCTAAGGGAGAAATTTAGCCGATCTTCAGTTTCTCATGGAGTCGAAAGTGTTGTTTTAAGAATGTTCACTGATAGGCTTCTCATATCTTGTGTCCCCTTTAACTTTATTTTCCTATTCTTCCATTTTTTCCTCAAATTTCCTTTTCATTTATTCAGAGACTTCGACGTTTGCCTATATTGGAATGGCATTCTTCACTATCAAACTGAACTTCCAGCCGTCACTGATCTTTTGGTGCATAGTAAGCGACATTCTACTTTTTCTATTCTTTATTCCATCATTTTATTTGTGTTAAAATTAGGTATTGTGTCTTGTGAGCCGTGCGCTTAATATTTTCCCGATCTCGTATGCTGTGAACAAGTGTCGCCGTGAGGTCCAAATCTCAATGAAGAATCAAATCATTCTGTGGTTTAGTGGTAAGTTGACTATTTGAATACCCATTTTGAGTTGTGTTTGATTAGAGGAGTTTTTGTAATAGATATTTTTATTAATTTATTCCAGACTTCTGGATAGTGAACCCTATCTTGATGTAATTATTTGAAATCACATTCTTCTTCCTGCTTTCTTATAGAGCTTTCTGCGTGTAGCACCAATACAGTGTTATAATACAACGTTACAGCTTTGCCATTGCCTTTCTTTCGTTTCCAGGAATGCGTGGTGCTGTATGCTTTGCCCTCGTCCTCTATATGGAGGTTGAGAAAGAGAAGAAATCTGTCATTTTAACAACGACACTCTTCCTTATTCTCTTCACCACCCTTTTCCTTGGCGGAACGGCAATGCCATTCATTAGCTTTATCAATAAATGCTATCCTGAAGAACGACCACGTCGACGAAGGCGCACTTTGCGTAAGCAAAAAGGTGCAGTGATGCTGAGTAAAACTCAGGAAATGGTGAGCTGTTTTATATCTTCTTTTCTTGATCGTCACCTTTCTTGGTATGTTTCAAGGCTATGTTCGGAAGCGATGAATGGACTCCAAAAAGAAATGACCAAGCAGATAGACCTTCCACAGCAGCTGGTAGAATGATGAGACAGCTTTTTGTTCGCAAATTCACAGCCACCGAAAGACAGGAAAATCGTGAAAAGCTTGCTGCATTTACGAGAAGAGTACTGCGTGATGAAGAGTCGGATACCGAGGTGGCTGGTGTAGGCACTTTTTTCTTTCAATAGTGAACATCGAACAATTATTCAGGTTGACGAAGGTGCGCCTAATGCACCATTGCTTCAAAATGCTATCGTTTGATAGGCCTTTAATGCTGTGGATGTTACATTGCAATTCGAGTCAGGTGGGGCGGGGCAATTTCCGAAGTTTCATATTGGTGGGCTTGCCTTTTGTTATCCTCCATGACTTAATTGAATGTACTGCTTCAAAAATCGAGCTTCGTTTATTATTTTTTGTTCTGTCAATGAATGTTGCTTTTCTTGGTCGCTCCTATTAAAACTAGTTCTGCTCTAGTCATTTGCTGTCAATTACATTATCCTTCAACTCTCTTGCCTTAATGCACTTATCGTTAGTTGTTGTTGTAATAAGCTCCATCATTTTTACTAATAAGGCATGACATAATTGTAAACTAAAATAATTTGATTGATCTTACAAGGGAATATTGTTAAGTAGATGTGACCTTTGAATGAGTGTATATAAAAAAGGTTAATGATCATCGCAACTCCATGTTTCATTTCTGCGATCCATGAAAGAATGTTACGAAAGCGAGTTTTAGAAAGAAATCAACGTAGTTAGCATACAGTTCACAGCAAGAAGTTGGATGGCACTGTGTATTGCATTTCAAGATGATGGTTTCGTTTTCAACCCCCAAGTTGTCACATTTTTGGTTTCAAATGTGTCCATCGCTGACATGTGACCTTGAAGACACATTGCTTAGGACGAGATCTGAACAGCATTGGGAGCACTTCAATAGTGCCTTAAATTCGAAGGCTTCAAATATTCAGATTTTAAAAACGCCATGCACCAGTGTTCCAAGAATAGAGTTTTGATTTCCGCTGAATCTTTGCTGTTGGGAAATTTGGCACTCTTATCGCAAAAATCATCTCTAGTCCATTTCGGTAAGGCCCCATAAGATTGAGAACCATAAAACTCACCAAGTAGACTATCAATTCCCATTTCTTTATAACTGCGCAGCTTAAATGCACCACATCTTGCTTTTGCGACCAACACGCTACACAACTCTGTTGGTGCTCAAGCAAATGTGGTACTTTTACCATACAACTCCATAGCCCTTTAGGAAGGCTGTAACGTGTGGAATGAATATGATTTTTGTACTCATCCTGTCAATTATCCCTCTGGGCTTTCAACCTAAATTTTTGAATTTTATTCATTGAGTGTGCTTTGAGTTCTTAATTTCTCGAAATTGAGTAACATACTTATTGGTAACATCATTCCCATGTTAGTCTGTTTTGATTTGACTTTCTAAGTCATTTTTCTGACTTTTCATAAAGTAAAGCCATTTCGGTTTAGATCCTTCTTCGATATTCAGCTCTTGGACCGCATTAGTTTTTTTAGAGCTTACAAGAACGCTTATATGAGTACTAGTTTTGGAGATAATCGGTTTATGTTATGCACTACAAACATTGCAGTCAAAATTAGTAGCGTTTGTTGTACAGCAGATATTTTATTAGAGTTATTATCAGGAAATACCGGTAGCAAACAAACAATACAGTAAAATTTTGAAGCAAAAATTTGCATAGATCAGTTGAAGTGAGCTTCAACTGATCTATGCTAATTTTTGCTTATAAAAGTAAGACTCATTGACAAAAATTACTTCCTTAAATGAGCCGCTGGCATTTCAAATCCGCCATTTCCTCCTATAAATCGTTGACTTTTTGATTTCACCGAGAATCCCACATCGTCTCCTGCTTGCCACGCGTTTGGAATCTTGAAAATTGTGTCCCATTCATCTCTGTAATCAAATATTCATCTCAAAACACTTTTTCCTTTCTTTCCTTCCGAATCTGTCACCTTGCTCGTCCTTGTGTGGAATATGCGGTATTCACTGCTGGCATAGTTGGATCAAGTGATGGAAGGATGAATCGCCCTCCAAGCCCTGGAATCTCTTTTTCCGTGGCTCCAATCCATCTTAAGCGAGTATGACGTCCTGTCGGTGTCCAAACCAATGGAGGAACGGGCCTTTCTTCTATCACCTTAATGTTTCACATTAGAAGATCATCATAGCTGAAGCATCAGAAGACTTACTTGCGACACCTTGCCATCAATCGGCTTATATGTTTTAGATCCAAACAAACGAGGATAGGCTTTAATTTGCTTAACTGGTCGCTTTCCTTTTTGTTCCGGAGTAAGAATCTCCCTAAAGATGTCATTTTCATTTAAGTCCAACAAAAATTTGACAAATTTGAATTGACAAACGCCACAAAGTTTCCTCATTAACTAATTTGAAAAAACCATTCATTCATTTGCTTCATTCATTTATCCGTTCAACCACTCATGTATTTTCAAATTTCTGACTTTAAGCTC